TTAGTTCTAGGACCCTCCTGTGGATACCAAAATCCACAGATGCTCAAGTCCTTTATATAAAATGGTGTAGTATTTGCATAACACACATCCTCCAGTATACTTTAAATCATCTCTAGATTATTTATAATACCTAACACAATGTAAATGCTAATGTAAATAGTCGTTATACTGTATTATTGAGAGAATAATGACAAGAAAAAACTGTACATGTTCAAGTATAGATGCAACTATTTTTTTAATATTTTCTATCCGAGATTGGTTAAATCTATGGATGTGAAACCCCCAGATACAGAGGGCCAACTTTGTATGTATCAGGAATAAACAGTGAATTATCAGGAATGCTATAGGGAAAATGTATGCCTCAGACAAGAAGAACCAGATAACCACTAAACTTCCTCCCAACTTTTTTCATTATTCTCAACTAGATCCAATTTGGGAGTTCTGCAGTTAATCTTTTCAAATCATCTTTAGTTGACAATATCTAATTTGATTTTCTTTTACCCCTCATTCCTTCCGTATAAGGTGCAGTTTTAAAATACTCAATTGTTTCCTTCAAGTTACTATTGTATTGAATAAAAATAAAATAAATAAATAAATAGTAGCAGAAAAAAGTTCTAGATAGAAAGGCTTAAGAAATGATGACCATGTCTCAACTCTTTCAGAAGTAGGTCTTTAAAGAATGGATATAACATTTTCTTGGAAGTTCTATTAATTTCTACTTGTCCTGACAAAACTCTATTTTGTGATTATCCACTACTTTAGCTTATCTGGACAATTATGGATCATTTCAAGTTGACTATGCTCTGGCATTACCTTTCTCATCATAGTAAATGGAGATGTCTCCTGTTGATGTAAATACAATTTCATCTATGTTAGCAGCAAGGGCATTTTTATGGTTGTCAGGTAGTGAAGTAACCTTTTCTTTCAATACATGTAGCACCTAAGTTTGAAAAAAGCAAGCCATTAGTTCACCAATACCATTTTTGAAACCTTTCAAAAAGTGATCTTTATCATGGAATACATTTTTCCAAACCTATTTTTAAATTTACTACCATATTTACTCATCCTCAAAAGCAAGGCTGAAATGTATCTCATTATTCAACTAGGTAATTCCTAACAGAACATTCTATATAAGAGCAATTGAAAAACATCATAATTACTTACTTATGCCTTAAGTAGCAGGAGTGATTCCATGCTTTTATATGACCCAAAGTACCCATAAGAACAGATACACAGACTCTACTTTGGATGCTGGCACACATGCTATTTTTAAGCATAAATAAGGAAAATGTGCATCATTCTATTGCAAGAGAATAGCATTTATTTTTAAAGCAAAATGTAAAATATACTTTACCTCTTTGGCCACAAGTTCTTCCAACAGATCAAATTTACACTGTGACAGCAACTTGGATACATGAGCAAAAGCCTTGAAAAAAATATTAAGGGAAGTGTGGGGATTATTATTTCAAAATACCATACCATGTTCATATTTAAATGGCTAAGTGTAATAAAGACTATTTTATGGTAATGGTGATAAACAACATCAAATATTAATTTATCAAGGCATGACTCCTTCAAGGTTGGTTGACTTTTTGTATATGGCCTTGCCACATATATAGGAGTAAGTGACTTGACCTTTAATTCTGGATCCACCTTCAGGACCTGGGAAATGACAGCGTGTTATGTACAATCTAGATATCTCAATAAAAATCCTCCTTTATATTTCTTTTTAAAATGATGACGTAAACAATCATTTGACAGCTGTATGACCCACCTCTTAATCATGCATAGATAGCAGTTGGAAAGGAGAACAGTTTAGATTGCACTGGGAGTCTGGAAATCTGGGCTGAAGTCTGAATCTCAGTATGGGAGATAATGTAGGTTTGAGAAAGTGGGAGAAAAGGTCATTAGTTTATATGATCTAAAACAGTAGATCCTAGCTTTGAAGTGTGAAATTCCATTTTCAAGGAAGGAAAATCCCAACTGCAATTCTCATTGCTAGCAATGAGAAATCAAACTGTGAATTAACATCCTACCTGTCTTCAGGGAACTTTCAGTCCACTTGGGAAAAAGACAAGTAAACTGACAAGTTTAGGAATTTTGACAGGGATAAGAACAGGATGACTTGGGAGCATACAGAAGAGCCTTCTAACCCAATCTGAGAAGATCAGAGAGGGCTTCCTAAGGGAAGAAACATCTAAACTGAAATCTGAAATAAGCTGAAATCTAGGCTGCCAGAGGATGCACAGGCATGTCAGATATGGCATATCAGAGAATACTACCTAACTGTTATAGGATGAATTGTGCTCTCCTTCCCCCAAAATTTATGTTGAAGCTCTAACCCCCAGAACCTTAGAATGCGACTATATTTGGAGATAAGGCCTTAAAGAGGTGATTAAGTTAAATGAGACCATCAAGATGGGCCAAAATCTAATCTGACTGGCATCCTTAGAAGAGGAGCAAATGTGGAGTAAGAACTACCAGGAGCGCACATGCACAGGGAGGACCATGCAAGGACACAGCAGGAAGACGGCCATCCGTAAGCTGAGAGAGGCCTCAGGAAAAAAACCCCTCCGACACCTTGATACTGAAATTTTGGTTGTTTGCTTTATATAAGCAACATTGCATACAGACTGGCTGATGAATGGGGTGGAAATACTACTTAATGGCAAGGAAGGAGGTGAAAATAGCTAACAGCTGGAGAACCACTAGGAGTGGAGTGACTCCAAAAATGCTGCAGGCTCCTCTGTGTGTTCAGAGGAAACAAGTACTGAGGCCTGATTCCTGCCAATGGTGGGGTGATGATTTCCAATCCTTACTGAAACATGAATGAACTGGTACCATCATATGTGTTATGAGGTGGACAAGCTCATATATCATCGGTGGGCACTGTAAAGAACAGGAGGATCAATACAACTTACCACTGCATGGACAAAAGATTTTAAGAACTGACAAGAGCAGAGGTTTATCCCTTAATTATGATGCTGAGTTAACCATCTTAATCAAGCTTGTTCTTTGACTTTTTTATGTAAATATATATAGTAGTCAAGAGTTGACTCAGAGAAGCAGGCAGCAGGAGTTAATACTGACACTTATTACATAAAGTTGAAAACATTTATTTACAACTGATAGGTCTCATAAATACAAATGGCCATGATTATGGAAAGAATCTGAAATAAATTTGGAGTAAAAATATCAACACCAGTATACAACCAATATTGTAAAATGATTACACCAATGGTATGGTTTTAAGGCATATGGAGGTATGAAGCAGGAAATATACTTTATGAATTCTATTGTGGTTTTTGTTTTTGTTTTTTGAGACAGAGTCTCGCTCTGTCACCCAGGCTGGAGTGCAGTGGTGCCATCTCAGCTCACTGCAACCTCCACCTCCCAGGTTCATGCGATTCTCCTGCCTCAGCCTCCAGAGTAGCTGGGACTACAGGGGCGCGCCACGGCTAATTTTTGTATTTTTAGAAGAGACGGGGTTTCACCATATTGGCCAGGCTGGTCTCAAACTCCTGACCTGTGATCCACCTGCCTCGGCCTCCCAAAGTGCTGGGATAACAGGCGTGAGCCACCATGCCTGGCCGACTTCTATTGTTATCAATAGTTTTGCAATGTTTGGGAACGATACACTCTGTAAAGGAGTCAAAAAAAGAAAAAAAAAAGGTATACATGGCCCTTAATCCTAGAAAAGAAGCATGTACCCACAAACTCTACAAATAACCTCAGGGCCCAAGTGACCACTGTCATAAGGGTAAGGCAAGGTATAATCAGCCATTCAGAAACAGGTACGTAACTAACGAAGTCAGGGATAAGAATCTCTAAAGGCTAAATATTTTCTGTGTGTAGGGTGCTGCGCACTTAGCCACCAGGCAGTCTCAGCAAACCCTTTAAAAGGGTAAAACTGCTCATCTCCAGTTTAATCTTTAAGGAGTATGGGGTGGTGTGTTGGTGGACTCTGTCAAATAAACGGCAGAAAGTTCTGCTCTTCTACCCAAGGTGACATTACAGCACTTTGGAAATGTTATCTCATTTATTCTTCAAACTGACCCGTTTATTAATGTATTCAACAAACATTCATGGAGGGCCTACTATGTGCCAGGGATTGTCTTGCCCACTTTGTAGATTTGAAAATTACGTTCGGACAATATGAGACCATATAGCTTTTTCCTTTATTTTTTGAGACAGGGCTTGGCTCTGTCTCCCAGGCTGGAGAGCAATGGCACCATCACAGCACTACGTCCAACTCCTGGGTTCAAGCAATCCTCCCCTTCAGCCTCCTAAGTAGCTGAGACTACAGGCGTGTACCCCCATGCCTGGCCAGAAGCTTACTTTAAGTCAAGCAATGGCTGGAAAGCTCTATGTCTGGGCCACTAATCACTTTGGATCACTTGTATCCCAGTGAAGAAACTAAGCACTTCTGCGAATAATAGTTGAACTCATTAGAGACAGACAAGTCAACCAGGAAAATAAACAAACCTGCTTCGCTCCCTCAGAGAACTCTGCGATGCTGAACTCTTTGTCGAAATAGGCCCAGATAAGGAAGGCCTTAATTCGAGTCCTAACCCAGTTGATAGGGTTGGAGAATCCCAGGACGATCATCTTGGTTTTCTGGTGCTGCTGGGGCTTCTCCTCCGTGCTGTAGCTGCGCTGAGGGCAGGCAGGGAAAGAAGCGAAGGCTGTGGGGGGTCCCGGGCGGCTGAGCACTGGCCGCCGGGAGCCCTGGGCAGGTAGCGCCGAGGCCGCCAAGGCCCAAGCGCTTCGGGGAAATGACGCCGCTCCCGAGCCGAGGCGACAGCGGCAGAGGTAGCAAAGTCTGGCCGACGGCAGCCTCACCTCGGCCGCAGCGGGAGTCCGGAGTCGGACGGCCCCGCAGGGCAGCGACCCAGAGTGCCGCAACTGGGGTAGCAGACGAGCGGCCAGCGCCATTTTTATATGACCCTTCACCCCGGTGCCTGCTGGTGCTGTATGGAAAGGAAGTCGGTGGGAAACCACCTCAGCGGTGTCGGAGAAAGAGACTGGAGAGCAAAGTGGACTTGTTGCTGCAGCCTCTGATGAGTCGGCCCCGTCCCCGCTCTCCAGCACGCAGCCCAGGCCGAGGCCCTTCGGCAACCCGCCCCGCGCTCCGACCCAGCCTCTCTGGAGTCCGCTGGCCTCGCGGACCTTTTCTCTGTCGCTCGTGTTTCCGGGCGGATGACGCTGAGGAACGCTTTAGAGCCGAAGTTGCGAGGACCTGGAAGAGGGCAGGCGTGAGCAACCATGGCCGGACAGCACCTCCCGGTAACCCGGCTGGAGGGCGTTTCTCGGGAGCAGTTCATGCAGCACCTCTACCCACAGGTGAGTCTCTTGCGCGGGGCAGAACCCCGGGAAACCCGCGGGAGACGCGTCTTCACCATTTGGACGACGGGGAACTGGTTTTTAGAGACCCAGGATGTGGGAAAGAGGCGCAGGACGGCAGCAGATGACTGGTTGGCCCTTAGGCCAAGGGAAAGGTGCACGTGGGACGCCGACTGGCTCCTCCATTGAAATTTCCGGAGAAAGCCCCATGTTTCTAGGGAGCAAGATGATGGCGGAGAGCTGAGTGCGAGAGGTATTTTGCCTAAACTCTGCTCCGCATCTGTCAGTCTATTCCGAATTAATGGGTTTGAAAGCACAACTTTTCACTCCACTGAGCCAAAAAGGAAAGCAATGGGATTCCCCCGGGAAATTCCTACTTGTCTTGAATTCTAACTTACTTAGGTTCTAGTTCCGACATTGGAGTCTTTTATACCTGTAGTTAGAACCTTAGGTCTTTAAAAGAAAACTCAGAGAAATATTAGGGGAACAAAAAGTGCTTTTACTTGCAGTGCTTTACAAGGGAGTCCAGACCTAAGAAAAACAGAAGGTGTTAAAAGGAAAAAATCTACAGGATTACAGTCAGTTTATGGTAGGAAAAATACTCAGCAAGCCGGGCGCGGTGGCTCAAGCCTGTAATCCCAGCACTTTGAGAGGCCGAGACGGGCGGATCATGAGGTCAGGAGATCGAGACCATCCTGGCTAACCCGGCGAAACCCCGTCTCTACTAAAAAATACAAAAAACTAGCCGGGCGAGGTGG